ACACACACACACACACACACACACACACACACACACACACACACACACACACAAAACCCCCCTGTGAGCCAGAGATGGTATGTGAACGGTGAAGAGACTGGACATACATTGCTCCCCCCTCACTTCCCTTCTCATTCCTGTGATGTTCAGGACACCCAAATCTCTACTACACTTTAACCAGAAATTCCAGGGTCTCCAGGAGTAAACTAGGGACATTTTGGGGGAGTCTTACTTTGTGTCTAAGGCTGGCTTCAAACTCCTGGCTTCTTTCCTCAGGCTTTCCAGCCAGTGCTGAGAATCCAGGCTTGTGCCATTCACTACAACTCACTATGAACTGGGCAATTTTAAAGCATTGTATACTTGTCTATCTGTTTGAGACAGTGTCTCCTATAGCTCAGGCTGTCCTCCAACTCTGTGTCGATGAGACTGGCCTTGATCCTTCTGCCTCAGCCTCCCAAGCATCTAATATATTTTTAACAACTATAAATATCAAAAGTTAAAAGAGATAGATATCATCATCTCTAGTTTATAGATAAGGCAAGAAGGAAGTTAAAAGTCTTCTCAAGGTTACACAACTAGGAAGAGGCATTTAGGATTCAAACTTAGGCAGCTGAACTCCAAAGCAAACAACAAAATTCCGATTTTGTTGACCATAACAACGCAAGATCTGCAATATGACCTGATAGAATAATGATACCTTGTTCTTTCATCTGGCTATGTATGCCTTGTGATAAACCTCAGTTTATCTTTCTGTTGAAGTCCATACATATTCTATGATGGAATCATCACTAGTATGTTCTCATCCAAACAGACCAAGGCTACAGGAAGCAGAGCTCGGCATGCTGGTGCCACTGCCCTCCCCCAGGCTTTGGGTCTCCTGTGCCAGTAGCCCTTGTTCAAAGAGCCACTCTTTCTGTCCTCATGTATGGGTACAACCCGCCCAAAACTGTCATAGTCTAAACAGCTGTACCCTCAGAACCAAGCATGAAGTTGGGCAAGGAAGACACAGCTGTCGGGGACATCTCTGAGGTAGGTCTCAGCTGCCAGGGGTGTGAAGAAAGGCCATCATGAGTCCTAATGCAGACCCAACTGGGTCCTGCCAACTCCTGTCACTGCACAAGGTGTGTGTGTGTGTGGGAGGGGGGAGCATGGTTTTCCCGCCTGGGTCAGTTAGGGAAGGAGCCTCCTCACCACCTCCTTAAAGAGTTGTAGCCTGAGCCTAAAGTGCTCCCACTGAACTGGTGTTCCCTGTGGGCCTGCCAGATTCAGGGGTCAACAGGGGAGTCTACTCCCCTCCCTTTCCCCATCCCCAGCCCCCAAAACATGCTGGCCAGCCGCAGCTGCAGCATTAAGGAAAGGCAGGATGTCCTGAGCAGCCAGCTGAGCACCCCCCCACCCCCCCAACCTCCTGCTGACCCCAGAAGCAGGCTGGGCGGGCCAAAGGGCCCGAATTTGAGCATTAACAACTGGAAAAGTATGAAGAATGTTGCTGCCAGCTCTGAGAAAAGAGACCGTGGCAGAAATGAAGACAAGCACAGGGCAAGAGAGAGAGAGAGTTACAGACTGGCAGAGACACAAGGAGAGAGAGTCAGACACCCCAAGACAGCAACAGAAAGACAGACAGAGTTAGAGAGAAATTCCAAGTCAAAAATACACCTCACTCACACAGACATTCGCCAGCCAGCATACGGCCTCCCAAGGAAAGCTTCCAAGTTTGGACAAGAGGGCCAGAGGTGAGAAAGGGGGCAGATTCACAGTGGGAGGCAAGCACTCAGCTGGGGACAACTAAGGGTCCCCAGGAAAGGCCCAGCCAAATAAACCCTAGCAGGGGCAGCCAGGTCCCCACTGGCTTATAGGCTAGGGATGAAAGAGAGCCAGAGAGCCACTCCCAACTCTTCCCCAGACACCCCTCCCCCAGCAACCAGCACAATCCCAGCTGCTAGAAGTCACTGGACATTGCTGCAGGCCCATGACTCGGCCCTCTGGAACCCCCTTTGTACCCACTTTGCTCTTGTTTCTCTGTCCCTCTAAAAGGGGGGGGGGAGAGCCCATTGCTACACAGTGGCTGAGCCTAGAAGATAGAAAGAAGCCAGCGGGAATAGTCTGTGGCTGTGTGCATTTAAGTGCGTTCCTGCCCTAGCTACAATGTGTCTATCTGCAAGGGTTATCTGGACACTGCCAGGTGGGACCTGTGACTGCACTCGGGAGCCCTGTGCATGGCCCCTGCACCTGTGAGACTAGGTGTAAAGGAGTGCACCTGTGCCTGGAGTTCCTACAGTCAATCAATTAACAAGTGTTTACAGAGCACACACTGTGCTAGGCTCTGGGTGGGATCCAGGGTTCTTCTAGAGGTTCTCCCATGTCTCAAGGAGATTGCCATCTAGTAACTGGGTGGTATGACAACCAACAGTAACAGACTATATTATCAGGAATGCATCCTGTGCACCAATATGCAGAAAAGTCTTTTTATACAGATGAATTTGATTTTCTCGGTAGCAAAGGTTTTGTTGTCCATAGAACCTCAGCTCCACAGATGAACCCAGGAAAATACTTGTTGCTAAGTTGAGTACACATGTGTTGATGTGTAGCTGTGTTTTTTGTTTGACTGAGTGGCAGTGACTGTCATGGCAAGCAATGATGACTGCATGACTGGGCACATGTGAGCTCGTGTGTGCTTGTGAGTGACAGGGTCTTTTGTAATTGTGCGGCTGTGTGCAACTGCTGTGTGTGCATGCATGCATGCATGCATGTGATAGTGACAGCGACTCTTCCTTGCCCCTGTGTGTGACAGCATCTCCCTGTGACCCTGTGCGTGGGTATGTGCACAGGCTGTCTCTCTGCTCTTGGTCTCCCGTGGGTGTGTCCAACCCCTTTGAGCTCCACCATGCAGCAGCAGTCTGCCTCTTCCCTTGTCCCCATGTGGGTGTGTCCAGCAGCTCCTGTCCTTGAATCTGCCTGGGTGTCCCTGAGTGTTCGTGTGGCTGTCTGTGTGGGCATATCTGTGTCTGCATGTCACCTTTGCCTCCCCCTTCATCTTGGACAATGGCCCCCTTCATCCCCTCCCCCTCCTGGGTCCAGAGCCAGCATTCAGGGGCAGGCTCCCATCTCCCCGGCTTTCCTTCTGTGTACCCCCCCACCCCTGGTCCCCGAAATGGGTGGCTCTCTCCATTGCCTTTGACATCTTCCCAGGCCTTCCTTTCACACTGGACAAGGGAGGGCCCTAGACAGAAAAGGGCCACCGGAGACACGTTGCAAAGGGAGGGAAACAGGGGAGCACACACACACACACACACACACACTCACACACACACTCACACAAACACGGGTCCATTGCTTCCTCTCTTCCCCACCACAGGCCAGCAATTCTCCTAATCATCCAGGGACCATCCACTAGTACACCCCCACTACTACAGGCTCACATTCCCCCCACCCCACCCGCCGCGTTTTTGCAATTAGGAGTGTTGCAACCAGAAAGCCATGCTCAACTGGGAAAGCAGGGAGGGGAGGGGGACTTCACTCTCCCCCAGCCCATGCAAGGCCCCCCCCCACCCTGCCGCACCCACATTGCCCTCCGTAGCTGGAGGCGGCTTTGCAAAGGCCATTCGCCCTCTTTGGCGGAGGGGGGAGGGTTGGGGGGGCACGACAGGCTTCTGGCACACCGTAAACAAACCGCGGCGCGGCGGGCGGGGGAGCCTCGGCAGGCAGCGGGGCCCAACCCGGGAATGCGCAGCAGACCGGCCGGACAGAGGCCGGGCGGGCCCTCGAAGGGGAGGCCCAGACGCCATCTCCGCGAGCGAACCCCGGGGCCCACCGACCACTTAACAGCACCTCCCTTTCCCAGGGCGTCAGTGGCTCGCTCTCGGGCTGTGACAGGGTCACCCGGGCGCCCGGAAAGGCACAGGTCGGCGACGGGAACCCCCTGGCCGCCCCCAGCCCGCCTCCGAGCTGGCCAGAGACCCGCGGCTTTGCATAATCAATCGCGATGCATTTGCATATTAATGCCCCCTCGCTCCCTCCTCCTTACCTTGGCTTGGCGCGCTGAACCGAGTTGGGCAACGACGCGGGGGTCTCAGCGCCCCGT